TCAGCTGTAGAGTCACAAAATGTGCCAGTTATTTGTTGCCTCTTGGCTGGATCCCCATCCTTCCATACTCTCCTCTGTAGGCAGGGGTGGAAGACCGCAAACTACATTTCCCAGACTCCCTTGCCAGCTGGCTTCTGGCTAGATTCTGCTAATGGGAAGGACTAATGAGAAATCAGAAGTCTGGATGGGAGAAAAGACATTTCTGGCTTCTGGTGGTTCCTCCGGTGGTGACCAGTGAGTCTGGGCTCGGGGTCCTTGGTATCACAGTTCCAACAGTCGCCACAGCAGCCTCAGTGATGCGGCACCTGCAGTTCTGTAACATCACTTTTCCCTGTTGCTCTCACCTTAGAGTACTCATCTCCGGTAGTTCCACCTTCCCTATGTGATACTCGAGCCCTTTCAACACACTTGCAAACTTTTCTCCGAATTAAATGTTCTGATTAGTCACTTAAGTGTTCTTCTGCTTCCCTGACTGGACTTTGCAGCTCAGGCAGACTGAGGTTCCACTACACTGTAGTTGTACCATCTGGAATGCATTTACCCCAGTGCCACCATGGCAGGGGATCAGGGAGATGGAGTGGCCCCTTAACGCTTTGTCTCAGAAGTAGTGTATGTCACTTCCTGTCATAGCCCATTGGCCACATCAGTCATTTAATTTCCCTGTATGGAAGACTTGGAAATATAGGGGAACACGTGGAATACTTGGTGACTACTAAGTGTCTCTATCACAATAAGTTAACCAAGAAAGAAAGAGAAAGAAATGGTGTGAGAAAACAGAGATTAATGCAAGAGAGAGTGTAAGAGAGACCAAGGAAAGTCCCCGAATGATTGCAACAGAGAGTCCCACGCTGCCAGCTGGGCAGCGGCCTTGAGGGCAATCTGCCAAATTTGGGTCCAGAGGAAGAAAGCTCCAGAAGGGATGTCCTCAGGAAACAAAATGAAACAAATAGATTTCTGACCAGTTTGACTAGGTGGAAAGTTGGGTTGAGGAGCCAAAGGAGGATGAAGGAAGACTTAAGAGATTCTAAGAATGAATCAAAGCAAATAGGAAGAAGAACAAGAGGGGGGAAGTGATTAACTCCAGAAAGAGCTAGGAGTTTGACAAGAAGGAAGTCAATAAAAATACTTTACTGGGATTAGCAGTAACTATATTTACCTAGATATAATTATGGAAACATTAAAATCGGATCTAACCAAAACTGCAATAAAACTGTATTGAGCAGTGCCGCACTGCAGTGCAGCCCTGATGCTCACTGCCAGAGTTAGCGCACGCTCCACAGGTGAAGGGCACCATCCTCAACGAGACAGCCCTTACTTTAGACACCAGCTGCAAGTTCCAGGGTCCCCAGGCCACTTGCACTTCTGACCAACTGGTTACAAATTCAGGGTTCCCATGACCCTCTCTGGTTTGATAATTCTCTAGATCAACTCACAGAATTCAGGAAAGCATTATGGTTATGATTACACTTTTATTATAAAGGACACAAATCAGGACCAGCCATGGTCCATGAAGAGCCCCACAGACTGAGGTCTGGGAGGGTCCTGTATGTGGAGCTTCTGTGTTCTCATCCCATGGAATCAAGACGCATCACCCTCCCAGCACAATGGTGTTATCACAGGCCAGGAAGCTCGCCAAGCCCTGAGTGCAGAGTTTCTATTAGTTTCTTTACATAGCCGTGATTGATTCACTGGCCACCTCATCACCCTCCCAGCACAATGGTGTTATCACAGGCCAGGAAGCTCGCCAAGCCCTGAGTGCAAGTTTTTATTAGTTTCTTTACGTAGCCGTGATTGATTCACTGGCCACCCGATTGAACTAAGTCTCTAGGCCCCCTCCTTTACCAAACCCAAGGCATGACTGGTCCTTCTGGTATGACCAGCCCCCATCCTGAAGCTGTCTAGGGGACCACCTGGCGTCATCTCTTTTTCATAAACTCAGGAGGGGGCCCACCATGAATAACAAAGACACTCCTCTCACTGCGGAAATTCCAAGGGTTTTAGAAGCTTTGTCCCAGGAACCCAGGGCAAAGACCACACAGATTCTTTATGGCACAACAGCAGGGTGAGAGGGAAAGTGTGCAGGTGTATGTGTGCTTTAAAGAGTTAAATGTTCATCTTCCAAACTGGATATCAATAGACACTGTACAAAATGGAAAAAATCAAGCAATAGCATTATAAGCATGTTATTTAAAAATATGGCAACAAATACCAGAAAACATAACAGTGGACTCAGAAATAAGTAAGGAGAGATTGTTGCTGTTGCTAAGAGCCTTTTATAGAACTACTTGACTTATTTGACCACGTGTATGTATTACCTTGATAAAAGTTAAAGGGACGGGCCGGCCCGTGGCTCACTTGGGAGAGTATTGTGCTGATGACACCAAGTCAAGGGTTAAGATCCCCTTACCGGTCATCTTTAAAAAAAATAAATAAATAAAGGGAAAAAAGGAAGAAAAGGGGTGGCCGTTGAGACAGGAGAAAAACTCATGGGGAGAAACTGTTGATTGATTTGATAAGACCCCTGACTGCACATTTTAATTATGCAATGGTGAGCAACGAGCCAGGTGAGGGAAGCAGAGCCCACGAGGGATGTGGCACTGGCCTAGTTGAAGAGGGGAAGGAGGGATTGGCAGACAGAGATATGGACAAAGGAAGTTTGGCCACCGAGGGCAGGAGAGAGACGTGTTTTTAAGATGAGAGATCCTGAGGATGTGCAAATGCTGCTGGAAAGAAGCCAGCAGTGGGAGAGGTTAAATATCAGGGAGTGCAGGGATCCCCAGGGCGTGAGGTGTCCCAAGGAGGCAGGAGGGCACAGAGAGACAGGCGAGGGGAAGGTGCACACTCGTCTTTATCCTTGTATTTCTCATCCTCCATGTCTGCTCACTTATCTTCATACTTCACAGGTGGAAGGGAATCATTTGCATCAAGTTACACAGCTGCAAGAGGTCCCTGTGACCCCACATTATTCTTCCTCCAAAGCCAGGTTCTCCTGGCTGCACTTGTTCCCTGATGAGTCAGACCTGGCTCTCTGCCCTTGAGAGCTCCCAGTCTGGGGGTGAAGCCGCCAGCGTGCAGCCTTTCCAAGCAAGGGCCAGGGGGGAAGCCAAACTCCAGTGCCTGTGGGGGCCAGGAAGAATCCAAAAATGGGACAAGGCAGGCTCCTGTGTGACGGCAATGTGAGCGGGAGACAGGAAGGAGGGGAGGGGGATGTGACCCCGTGACAGCTCTTGTCCCCTTCCAGAGGGGCACTCCTACTCCACCCCAGGGGCAGCTCTCTTTTGCCAGATCTTTGGGTTTTTCAAGAGAATCTAAGCAGCCCGATTTCCATGTGAATTCTCCAGATTAGAGAGGTCTGTGCTCTGAGGGCGGTAATGCAAAGTCGTGGGCTATGGAGATGGTCAGCGAAGGCCCCCCTGGGGAGCAGACCCCCAACCCATGCAGGAAGCAGCTTGGCATCCGGAAAGAGAAAGAAACCAGGAGGCCAAGGCGCAGAGGAGCTGGGGAGACAGGCCTGGAGGAGGGGAGGGTGGGGGAGGACGGAGGGCCTGACCACCGGGGCCCGTGGCCAGAGTAAGGGAGCAGCGGCAGGGGAGGGACGAGCCAGTTTGCCAGGTGGCCCCGATGGCCCATTTGATCCATGTGGGTCACTGCCCACTGGCCCGGTTGGCACAAACGCCTCGTCCGCCTGCCCTCCCCAACCCGGGGGCCCAGGAGGAGGGTTCGAGGTGTGGACGGGTTGGCCTCTTCGAAGCCTGCTCAGCCCAGGATGGGGCCTCCTCATTAACAGAGTGTCATCTAATTGAGTACTAATTAGCCACACTTCGTACGCCGGCCAGGGGCGCCCTGAGGCCATGCCCACTCTTCAGGGGATGGCAGGGACCCGGCCGGGAGCCCCCCCCCCACACACACACAGCGACAGTCGCCAACCGTGGCGCGCGGATACGCGCACTGGGATGCTGCGCAGCGCGCGCTGC